TCCGTTACGGACTAAAGGGAAGACAAGGCTACTTAGGAAGACCAAATAACATCGGAGAGATAAAAGCCATTTTGGATTCCACAGGAACAGATTATAACAATTTGCCCCTACATATATATGATGATAAAAATGAGAAGAAATCTACGCCGATTCATGTATGAAAAAAAAATCTTGTAGTTTTACGGTAAAAGAACATTGACATTTTTAAAGTGTTTGTGTTAATATTAGCTATGAGATAAAATCTTGAGGACAGCAGGCTCATATAATTATGAAGCAATGCCTTTATTAAATATAGAGGTATAGAGTATTTATAAAAGTTCCCAAAAGTGTAATTAATTCCATTGTTTGTGAGGCCTACTTGATATACAGAATTAACGTAATGAAGTCATTATGGCTTCATAACATGTTCACAGATATTAGTTACCTCAGCATAATTGTCGCAAAACGTAGCTTTTGTTTTACGTCATGATTCAAAGTGGTCGTCGGTCAGCACCATAATTTAATATCTGGCTGCATTTTAATTTTAAAGATATGAAAATTTTATTTAACTGATGTTTCCATTGTTCATGAGTTTAAGAGGATAAATTTGGCGCTCAAAAACCTGGCCTCGTTAGATATTTCTATTCTGTAATCAGATTACATCGGCTGTAATGGTTGAAATTGAAGATAATTTTCAAACTCTGCTAATAAGAAACCCTTGATGTGTAAAATGAGAACCTAATTATTTATCTATTACGAGTAAGGTTAAAACATTAGTAATTTGTCAGATACAGTAGCGAGGTTTTCGAAGTTTCAGACTAAATTCCAGACTAGAATAAACTGTATTCGATACAGAATAGTGACTGGCTACAGACTGGACAAACGGGGTTTGATCCTCGATGGGGTCAAAGGATTCTTTGTCTAACCTTTGTTTCTAGACCGGTTCTGGGGCTCACCCAGTCTCTTATCCAATGGGTATCGGGGATCTATCCTGGGGATAAAGCGCGGCCGGTGCGTGATGCTGACCACTCACCCCCATCTAGTCCGAGGTCAAGAATGAGTAGGAGCTATACCTCACGTCCCTCCAGACGCCTACATGGCACGTAGTGGGACAGCTTTACATTTATCTTTACGGAATTAACAACCATAGAATCCATAGAAACTTTTTTAAAATTTTTGTTAATCAATTTTACAGAGTAGAGTTATTTTCATGAAGCTAAAAGTCGCTCAGCTTTTCAAAGAAATTCCCAGCCTTCTAAAGGTTCCGAAAATTCATCAACATCTTCTATTTAAAAATTTAATATTTTAAAAAATTAGATCGTAACTACATATACACAGATTGAACTAACATTTTTATAACTAGATAAGTAATTAAAGGTTTTGTATTTACTTGATTTTAGGAAAGTTAAAATGTTTAATATTCCGTTATTTATTGTAATGTTTACTTAACACTATAACTGTGAAACGTATCGAAAACATTTGAAATTCAAAACTCTTAATACTTTGATCGTCTTTGCCTAATGGCGGCATTATAAATATATTTACCTTAAAACAGACACAGTAATTAGTAGCACTTGCACACAACCAACAATATGCCGACGAATTACCGATCCGAAATTAACTTTCATTCCCCTAAAATTTAAAAATATGAATGGTAATGCTACAGGTATACGCATCCAACTCAGCTTCGTGACTTTCTTTTGAATGTAGTACAATATTGACTTCTATAAAGTTCTAAATAGAATAACACGTGCTTACGTGATATAAAAACCGCAGACGACGAGTTAGATAAATCGTCACAGGGCCTATTTGGCACTTACCCTCTAAAGCCTCATAATTTTTATAAGCCTACCTGTCATAGAAACAGCTTTTTAAAATGACAAATGGAAACATCTGTTCTGGTACTGTATTTCTGTATGAGTATTTCTGATTATGAGACGGGAACGATTAATTTAGAGTAGGACCCACTGCAGTGTGTTAGCTCCATCATGGATAGCAGACTTATGAATTTCAATATGTATCTGAATATTCATTTGGTAGATAGTATCATACAACATCGTGTAACCCGATGTCCTAGCTTCACGTGCTAAGATAGTAAATCTAAATATATTTTAGTCGCACCAATGAAATGGATATGACAGACGTTTACAATGTATTGAAGTAGGTTACACATTCCACACACTCCTGAAAACATCTATAGATATGTATGGAATACTTCTGAAACTCCATTTTGAAAAAGGAAACAAAACAAAAGACAGACTGGCATTCTTAGCGCTGAGCCTCCAAGATCAGATGTAAAGCTCACATAATTTATTATGCTTCCTTACAAACGTAGCTGTTGTCTACTTGAGGGGACATAAGTCATTATATCTGAGAGACCTGGTAGAACTATTTTGTACGTGTCTGACTGTGTGTTAGTCCAGGTCTCAAAGATGTATTATAAAAAGATGTTTTGTTTTATCATAACACTGGACCAGTTGCGGATAACAAGAGTTTTACCGCTCAAGTTAAAATAATAAAACATTTCTAAAAAAATTAACTGCAGTGTATCACTCAACTTCAACTATTTAAATACACGCTAATAAATATCCACTCTTTTGTTTTCTTTTTCCATTATTTATCCTCTTTCTCTCCTAATGCTTCTTCACCGGCTCCAAAAATCTAACATGTGAATAGGTAATTTATTTTCGTTTTGCTACAAGTAGCAGTTATTTACTGGTTTCTCTGCTAAAAAGTATAAACGTCTTACAGGGGACGGGTTAGATATGTCTA